TGTATGCTCACCAGAGAGAGACAGACAGAGGTACAGAGAAAGAGAAAATGAGAAAGCAAATCACCAGGTCTGGGACTCAAATACAGTCAGTAATGTGGGAGCCAAGGGCCTTAACCACCATGACACCTGCCAGCTCCTTGGTACAAAAAATTTTAAATCCATGCATAGTTTTTTCATAATATGCCTCTTCTATTAACTTTTTTTTGGAGAGGTTTTCGCTATAGGGTGCGTGTGCTCGCCAGACAGATAGAGAGAGACATAGAGACAGAAAGCGAGAAATCTGGGGATGGTCACGCCGCAATCCCTTCTCCTCCATTCTCCTCTCGGGATCTTGGGCATGCACGCACACGCGCCCGGCGTGAGTGTAAGCCACCAGGTCTGGGACACGAACCACAGTCAACTACATGGGAGTCCAGCGACATAGCCATTACAGTAACTGCTGGTTCCCTCTTCTATTAACTTTTGAAAGACCCCAAGTACACATACATATATGTCTTTTTTTTTTTAATTGGACCAGAGAGGGACAGAGTGTATGTGAGAGAGAGAGTGAGAGTGAGAGTGAGAGAGTGAGTGAGAGAGAGTGAGAGTGAGAGAGAGAGAGAGAGAGAGAGAGAGAGAAAGTGAGAAAGGAAGCTGCCAGGTCTGAGGACTGAACTGGGGTTGGTCATTTGGGATTCCAGCATCCTAACCACCATACCACGCTGCCTGATGGCCCACATATGGATCTTTTTTTTCTTAAAAGAATTATTATTATTATTTTAGAGGTTTTTGCTATAGGGCGTGTGTGCTCACCAGGAAGACAGAGAGAGACTGAAAGCAAGAAATCACCCCCCGAGGGGATGGCCACACCACAGTCCCTTCTCCTCCATTCTCTTCTCGGGATCTTGGGCATGCAGGTACATCCCCAGGGGGGATGGTCACGCCGTAATCCCTTCTTCTCCATTCTCCTCCCAAGTGGTTGGCCACTTGGGATTCCAGTGCCTTTAACCACCACGCCACCTGCCACCCACCCACACCCCCCATGAGTCTTTTTAAAACATAGGGACCTGGGGCCAGCAGGTGGCATGGTAGTTAAGGGTGCTGGACTCCCACATTGTCGACTGTGGTTCGAGTCCCAGACCTGGTTGCTTGCTTTCTCACTCTCTCTCTTTCTCTTTCTCTCTCTTCTTCCCTTCCCTGTTCCTCTCTGGTCAAATTAAAATAAATAAATAAAGGTAAATAAAGTAATTCTTAAAAAATATAAGACTTCAATGATATAAAATTATGTATTACTGTGCATCTTGTTTTGCACATAACAATGTAGAACTGACTTGAAAAACATTTAGCCCAGTGAAACATCTTTCTTTTTTAAACATTATTTTCTGGGATCAGCAGTTGGTGTAATGGCTATGTTGCTAGACTCCCATATAGTCGACTGTGGTTCTAATCCTGGACCCAGTACCTTGGGCACACACGCACGCACATGCGTGTGCGTGCATGTCCAAGATCACGAGAGAAAAATGGAGGAGAAGGGATTGTGGTGTGGTCATCCTCCCGGGAGGTGATTTCTCGCTTTCTGTCTCTCTTGTCTTTCTGGCGAGCACACGTGCCCTATAGCAGAAACCTCTTAAAAAAAAAAAAAACATTATTTTCTAAGTTCTATACAGATGGAATCTTTACCTCTGCATTTTATACTTTTTTCTTTTAGAGAGATTTTTGCTATAGGGTATATGTGCTCGAGAGACAGACAGAAATGAGAAATCACCCCCGAGGGGGGATGGCCATGTTGCAATCTATTCTCCTTTCTTCTCTTCTTGGGATTTTGGACATGCATGCACACATACCCAGTGTGAGTTTTATGCCACTGGGTCCAGGAATTGAACCATGGTTGACTACATAGGAACCCAATGAGGTAACCATTACACCATTTGCTGGTTCCTACTCTGTATTTTAATCAGTCTTGCCATAATTACTATAGAGTGGCTTTTCAAATATACTTTTCCACTAAAATTGAGATAGTTAAACTTAATGAACATAATGTGTGAAAGGACATAATAAGCTGGTCAATAGTTCTGCCCATAATACACACAAGAGTAATAAAAAATATATATGCTTTTAAACACAATTTTATTACAATTTTTGAAAGACAAATCTTTTTTTCGTAACTTTTTTTAGAATAATTTAATTTTATTGGTTTGTTGGAAAAGTCATGATATATTTTTACACAGAAAAATGGAAAAATATGTTATGAGTTTTCTGACAACCCAATATTTATCATTATTTTTACTGTTACTATTAAGTTTGCTACAGGGCATGTGTGCTCACCAGAGACAGACAGAGAGAGAGAAAGAGAGAGAGGTGAGAAAGCAAGCTACCAGGTCTGAGACTCAAACCATGGTCAGTCATGGAAAAGGCTCAGTGCCTTTAAACCACCTCGCCTCTTGCTGGCCCCCTGAAAGATAATTTTTACACTGTCATGTGAATATGGATTTTGGTACATTAACCGCCGCCTTATTACTTTATATCCTAAATATACAAATATCAATGTCAGATGGTACTGAGGTAAATATATTTGTACATTTCAGTATATTAGAGTACTAGTTTTAGAAATTAGGTGTTTCAGGGCCAGAAGTTGGTGTGGTAGTTAAGGCGCTGGACACTCCCACATGGCCAACCACAGTTCAAGTCCTGGACCTGGTGGCTTGCTTTCCTGCTTTCCTTCTCACTCTCTCTCTGGTCACATTAAATGAATGAATAAATAAAAATTAAATAGATAATTCTTTTTTTAAAAAAAGAATTGAGATGTTTCAGCCAAAAATTTATAGAAAAAATTTATTAGGCCATCTTGCTTCAATCAATGTTGATGTTATTCAAATGAGTAAATGTATAAAATTGAAAATTAGAATAAACTTGGGATTTAAGTAGGAAAATCTGAATTATAGAACCAGTTGGTAACACTTGCTGATGGGTACTGGCAACCCATCCCTTTTTTCCTAGTAAATGTATGTGTGTGTTTTAAGATTTTTGTTTTTCTGGTTAAAACTGGAAACATCATGAAAAAAAAAGGCACAGCAATTACTAGTTCCAGTGTATGAGCCTGCTCATTTCATCATCTTTAATAATTGTATTTTTTAAATCTTACTTTTTTGTCAATAGAATAAATAACTCATTGGGTTTTTTACATTTTTTTTGAAATTATTTTATTTTATTCATTCGAGTTTTTTTTGTTTTGTTTTGTTTTGATTTTTGTTTTTTAGTTTTGACCAGAGAGAGACAGAAAGGGAAA